ATATATATATATATATATATATATATATATGTATGTGTGTCGTATGTATATATATATATATATAGATCAAACGTGTGTATGTGCATGTATACATACATCATACATACACACACACTTGTATATATACAACATACACACGCACAGAGACATATATACGACATACACATACATACACACACATACATATATACGACATATATACACACAGATATATATACGACATACACACATACATATATACGACATATATACACACACAGATATATATACGACATACACACAGACATATATACGACATACATACACACACACAGACATATATACGACATACACACACACATATATATACATATATACGATATACACACACACACACATAGACATACATACAACATACACATACATACTACACACGTACACACGCATACATACATAGACACAAACATACACTGTAACACACACAGACATGCACACGTACGTACATACACAGTAACACACATGCAACATACACTCACATAGATACCTACATACATTGTAACACACAACAAACACACAGACATACATACTACACATGTACACACACGGGCATACACTGTAACACACACACATATACATACGTACACACATACATACTCAAGGCTAACACAAACTAAGTTTGAATATAAATATATAGGCGGTGGAAGAGCCATACCACCTATAGCTTTGCTAGTTGGTACAGGTGTACCGAAACATGCCGAACACATTTATGGAAGAAACAACATGGGGGCGCTGAGAGAGGGCCTAAATACGCATTGGTTTATAACGTAATGTCGTTAGGAATTGCAGTTAAAAGCGCGAGTTTGATGTTGTAGTTAGTTAAGCCTAGCCAATATTAACATTTGAGTAAAATGGTCCTAGCCTATTCAATATTATGTGGTGCATACCCTTCACGCTACTTTCTGTCATGTTCCATCTCACCTGGAGTATTTTATTAAATTGGGCAGAGTGCATACTGAACATCTGATGTGATTTGCATCGATGCTAGTGTATTCTGAAAGTGAAACAAAATTTAATATGCTTCAAGGTCAACTTTTAGCCCCATTTAAGGTCTTTCGGTTTCAGTAAATGTTCTCCACGTGTGTTTTTATACACGTGTACCACCCCTCACTGCTATAGGTTGTGCAGCTTTCTTACAACTACACGTATCCAAACATGTTCCGTACCAGCCCTGTATACTACATATGAGCTTAAGAATGTAAAGCTATTGTAACTAGGTGTACTTATAAGATTATCTACATAAAGTCTGATTCGAGATATATTAAAAAATGAAATTTCCACATTCAAAACTAAAATGATAAAACATTCAAAAGCCGAAGAAATTTAAGTTATTTCATCGGGAGGATCTACCCAACTATGTTATCGAAAGTTCGGAACTTATACTATATGGCGTCTATTTTTCCAATTTCTAGTTTCGAACACCTAAAGTTAGTTAAGATATAAAACTTCATTAACATGTAACGCGTTTAACACAAACTACATACGTACCTGTATCTCAAATCATTTCCTAGTCGATATACACCTTTTTCCCAAAGAAACTGAATAGGTGGATCCCCCCTTGCGACAGCTGAGAGTACTATTCTGCCTCCTTTACTCACAGCATGGGTTTTGAATTTTACTTCAAATTTTGGTGGGTCTGTATGAAAATGAGCATAAAAATATAAAGTATGATAAAGAATAAAAAACAAAACTTAACTCAAAGTAATAAAAATAAAACTACTCTAACAAAAAATATATATTATGACTTCTAAAAAAAATTTATTCTTAGGCATAACTAAATTTAACTTATAGCATTAGATGAAAGAAAATGTGGTTATCGTGCTATAAAAAAGCATTATTAAAAAAAAAAGTCAAATCTTATATGAAAACTTTACCACAATGAATTCTTAGTACTTTACTGCATGCTAGGAATTATCTTGCACGTGTATTACGTACCCTTGATAACCTAAACTTACGGTTTAAACGCCGAAAGCTGGCGAAGCATTTAAAACCAATAGGCCTAACATCTATAATAAAAATTAAATTGTAGAAGTATTTTTCACGTTCTTCTTAAATCATTCATTTCGGATTTCTAATTACAGAAGTATAAAATATCATCTCAGGTCCATGTTTTGTCTCCCACAACTCACTGTCCAGGAGACCTCTTGTTCAATACAATAACTCGTCAATTGGGCTGGATAATGAGAGACGAATGTTTTTCTGAAATACGATTTATATATAGAGTATAAGACTTTAAAATTCACAATAAAAACATTAAAAACTGGCGAATCATTGGAAACCAATAGGCCTAATATTTATGGTACAAATCACATATATTACGTTTTTTCGTTTTCTTTGGAACCAATAGGCCTAATATATGTGGTACAAATCACATATATTACAGACGTTTTTGTTTTTTTTAAACCCATGGGCTTAATATTTGTGGTACAAATCACACATATATTACATTTTTTTTGTTTTTTTAGATATTCCTCATTTTTACTTCAAGTGTTTACTGCATTTACCACAATGTTTGGTACATCGACTATGCATTTTGATTTTCTTGGTAACTTCGCGGTTTTTTTTCGTGCTATTGTTAAACTGAATATATTATTTCTTACTCTCTGAATATCTGTTGTTTGGATCTTTATGGTGCCGTCATTGAATTTTGTACTTCTTTTATTATTTTGGCGATACTGTATGATTCCTTTAGGGCTTAAGATATTCTTGATACTTTCATTATATGTGTGATCTTCTTGAAACGTTTACTATGTCGTATATTACTCATAGTAAGTTTAATATATTATATTCCGTAGCTTATGTTTCTTGTACCTATTTTCGTATTATTTGGTATCTTGGGTTGCTGTGGTCAAATTAGTTGAACTGCTAGATGCAATATATGCAAGTGCACTGCATCATCACGAATACTTTTAGGATCATAACATGTGATCGATCAGTAGATATTTACGAAAATTCTATTTTGCATATATATCATAAAAAACGATAATGTCTTTATGATTTGCTATTGACTCAGCTTCGAATCAATTTTTAAATAATCTAACCTCATTCATTTTCTCCATTGTTACTGTCAATGTCAACACAAGTTGAAGTTGACGTAAAATGTTGTAGGAAACTTTCTGCCTTTTACAGAAAGCCAATAAAAATACAAAGAAAAAACCCTCAAACAATACAACTCACATGCTACTTACAATGAATTTTTAGATGCACAAGTTTGCTAAGACCAAAACCAAAACCATTAGCAGCCTCGCAAAGGTAATGTCCTTTTTCTTGTTCGCTCGCTCGATGTATTATCAGGGAACCGTTCGGATAGAGCGTGTGTTTATGACTGTTGTAGACAGGAGTGTAATCCTCTGGGATTGATTCTGAGAAAACAAAGATATCATTGCGGTTATAAAGAACAGGATAATACCCAATTCAATATACTGAAAGATGAAAATCGCGATTAGTTCATCACAGAAACTTTCTGAAGACATTAGAGAAAGCTAAGACTCGGAGAAAATGCGTGATGTTCTCGATATAGCTAAGTGCAACCTAAAGTCAAGTTTCGTCATCTTACAGGCTCAGGACGATAACAAGTTTATATAAAAATATGCGAACTTACTTCTAACAGACAAAGGTTAATTATTATTTAAAAAATATTATGGTCTATTATTGTGACACAACTACACAAGGAAAATAATGATGTAATGCGTCTTTATGTTACTTTAAGTTGTACTTTTAATTTTGTAATTTAAATGGTAACTAGAGAAAGCTATGGGTTTAAATAATGACGTTTATTTCAAAAGGGTTTACCTAGAAAGTTTTGAGGATGTGTGGTAAAATTTTTAGCGTATATGAAAGTAGATTATATATGCAAGATAGTTGTGAAGTGTGCATCTTTTTTTCAAGATATTGAATTGAATCAGTGTATTTTCATGAAGTATTTGGAATTGTATTTGCTATCGCGCTTATTGAGTTACCTTGTATAAGTGAGTTCATTTGTTTTACGTTAGCTAATGCCATTTGTAACATAGGCCTACAACAAGTTACGACAGTGTGCCATTGTAAAAGGTTCTACGAACGTTAAAGAAGGAAATAAATCATTCATTCAGGTTAATGTGAAATAAATTTTGAATTATTTTCACTGGATAATTTAAAATAACTCACCAACGAAAGAAAAACGATACAACAACAATATTAACCCACTGACTGCTACCGTTGAACATTATGAAAAACAAATAACGTTTCAAGCAATATTATAACTCAAAATCGTGATATCTCACGTAGAAATATTAAAGCTTACTATTTTCAATAGAAATTACAAACTCCAATCATAAGATATCCTTTCTGTTTTTGATTTATTTTGAGAATTTCTGGATAAAACTGTGCAACCATATTCATTATTCTAGGCCCTCTTTCTATGTTCTTTCTTTAGACATCTCTCAATGTCTTTCTACCGGCAGATACTACATAACAAAATAGTAATTCATGGCATGTTACAGCAACAGAGAGATGAATCTCACCGTAGTTATTTAATGAGAAATTTCACTAGTAAAATGTACAGCACCTTTTGTGAAAATTATCTCTTGAGGAGTAGATCTTTTTTTTTACTTAGTACAAAATATTTGTAAACTTGCATGGCTAAAATATTTTACGTTATTTAAATATTCCCACTATTTTTCTAAATAAACAGCTAAAACAGATTAACTAAGAAAAGACGGGTACCAAGTTTTACGGACCAAACATTCAAACACGTATCTTAAACCTTCCAGAGAAGCATTGATGAGGAAACTGGGAGTTGGGGTGGGGGTAAACTTCTTTACTCTTTTGGATAAATTATTCCACCTCTTTATTATTATATTGTGACATTGTATTTTATAAATCTTCTATTTTCAAGCTTTTGAAACTTACATTTGAAGAAAAGATTCGTAAGATTTAGCAGTAATACCATTTAATAATTAGAAAAACGAGAAAGCTATATTAAATTATATGACTTCAACTCATGATATATATGTGGCTCAAGTTATATTAAAATTTAGTAAATTCATGCTATTAATATTGGTAAACTTCTAAACAGGAATACGTCAATGAGGAAATACAATTTATGTGAGCTCTTTTGCAAAGAATGTTGAATCTATAAGTCGCTGTGCTATTTCCTCAAATACACTCTTCTCTAGTCTATAAGAGTAATAACACAGCTAACCACGTGTCTATATTGTAGTAATCTACATACTAAAGTAAACAGAAATAATGCTTTCGTTATATTGAAGATATTTTACACGGTACCGAATGATTACAAATAAACTTTTAACTACATTTTGTGCGTACGTGGGTAAAAATGCTCAGGCAATCCCATTATTTATTTGGATTAAAATCATTGTCTAACGGTGTATAATTAGCAGTTTAATTAATAAACTGACCACTTGTTGATCTTGTCCACTTGATTGTTGGGGGTGGAGAACCAGTAGCACTGCAGTCGAATCGCGCGGATTCTCCTTCGACAACTTCTGTGTTCTTTGGCTCCACAACCCAACGTGGTGGGGCTAAATACAAGAAAATGATTTTTACGTTATGCATTTTAACTCGACACATTCTAGCACATTAATTTACGATTAGTAATTATAAGTCCTTAGAAATGTTTTGTATTCAAAATACGAATACTGTTTTATGAAAATTAAAAACGTTTTAAACTCTATAAAGCCAAAACATTACATTGGCGAGTGATACTTATTGTCCCATTGCACTTTATAAGTAATTTTCACATCATAGTAGCAATATAAGCATCCGGGTACTGGAAGCTTCTTCAGATGAAATATGAATATCATTTAAATTTAGGCAATATAAAGTTTTTCTGCCTTTTGATTTTGGCCTACCAACTTTATTTAGGCCCCCCAGTGGCACAGTGGTATGTCTGCAGACTTACAACGCTAGAAACCGGGTTTCGATACCCGTGGTGGGCAGAGCATAGATAGCCCTTTGTGTAGCTCTGTGCTTAAATACAAACAAACAAACAAACTTTATTGATTATCTTTATTATTTTTATAACTTCGAATATTATCGGAGACCGGGCGTTGCCTAGTGGTTAATGTGTCTGGCTACGAATTAAAGGATCGGGCGTTCGAGACGTTATGGTGTTGAACCCACTCTGCACTTTCAGCTATGGAAGCATATGAAAAGTGACAATCATCCCCGTTATGCAGTTTTAAAGAGGATGGAAACTTCCCGGTGGTGACAGATTCTGTTAACTGGCTGCCTTTCCCTCTGGTTAGTACTTCATAAATTATTTTTAGGGCGGTTATATCTGAATTCTAGAGTTCTTTGACCTATCATTAAGCCTACTTGCGCATAAAATGCCGTTAAGGTTGAAAATTCAAATTACGAATATTATCAATAAAATTAAATATTAACTAAAGTTTTCAAGTTATGATCGTGAAATACAATAAATTTTGTTTTAGGATAAACTCACTGTATTGTAACGGATTATTCAAGTATCATTAAGTTGCATCAAAATGATGAGGAACGAATCGCTCATTTCGTAGTATATAATTATCGGTTTTTGTTTTTCACAGAAATCAGAAGTATCTTTAGCAAATACTTTAGAAGCCGAAAGTGATCCTGCTTTAAGATATTTGCTCTAGTGGCAGTTGGTGGTATTAATTAATTAATTTATGTTAAAGATTTAACTCATGTTTTTTTTTTTTTGCAGTTAAACTTGATACAAAATTTATTCAAGTCAAGAACTAAATAAGAAAGAAACATTTTTGTTTTCAGTTTTACATAATATACAAAGCTGAACGTGTCCTAATGACTTGCATGCTAGACTGGGAATCGGAAGGTCCATTGTTCGAGCCCCGTTGTAGCACCGTTGTGCCGAGGGCCGGATAAACCTACCGCGGGGTCCCTAGGCACAAAAAGAGAACGCTTTGCGCGGGGTCTCATGAATATGTTGTCTGAAATCAAGGATGTTTATCCTATTAATCTATTGATTGGCTTTATCGATAATTGATAATGCAAGCTGTTTACGACAAGATACCGAGATTTCACGTCAAAGAGATAATTACCGAGTTATACTTCTAAGGATATTCGATAATTGTTTTAGCGTTTTTTTTTTTCTTTTAAGATATAAGCAGAATCTTTGCACACATCTAATTTTTATTTGCACATTCCTATAGAAATTCATTACATTATAAATATTTTAATCCAAAATTAAAAGCAAAGTTAATTTTATTGTTTCACCATTAAATTACACACACACACACACACACACACACACACACACACATATATATATATAATTGTATGTTCTTACCCGTTGAGAATTGTCGAGTATTTTAAATGAATATAAATCGCTATAGAAAGAGCTTTTATAGGCACAGTGCTATATGGTGAAATACATGAGGTGCGCGCACTAGTATGATGATGAAAATATGATCAAATTATGAACTCCATTTGATCTCCTACTGAATGTACATCATCATGATGTTAAAAAATAATTCATTTCTTACTAAGTGATTTGTTTTCAATGGTTCGGAAATTTTAATTCAATTTAATCGATTAATACAATAATATATAAATATATAGTCATAAAAGCGCTGGGCCCTAGGCCCTGGTCGCGCCTCGCACTTTGGTGCTGTGGGTGCATTATAAAAGTGACGGTCAAATCCCATTATTTTATCAGAGTAGTCGAAAAGCTGGAGGGTGATGGATAGTATTGACTGGCTGCCTTACCTCTAGTCTATCAGCTCAAAATTAGGGACTTGTGAATCTTTGCGTGAATATCCTAAACAAAATTGGTTATACGTTTGAGCTATAATTTAAAGTTCACCTTACAAAATAGATATGGCTATATTCTAATTTTTGAAAGTTAGTATGTCTACTAAGGCCATTTAAACTTTTTGAAAACTGTGATTAAAACCGACTGGTAATCAAAACCGCATTTCCTCCGGCAATAGGTCTATAACTGCTTTTCCTGTTTCTTAACAAAGACCCTACGGTGATATTTGCACGATATGAGGCTTTCTCGAAGAACAGCCATGTCGGCGTTACTCTACTTTTGTGTACTTTTCCATAAATCGACTTAAGTTTACGACATTCAAGTGACATGTAAACAGGTCGAAGTCAATTAGAGCTATATTGGGAGTCTAGACAAGTATGCGATCGACATTTGGTATTTTAAATTTGAACGGCACCTTATGTGACAAATGGGTGAAAGGTTACATCAGAGACATTAAGCTTCAAGCATAGTCATCCATAAATTTGAATTTCTGACCAGAATGAGAGTACAAGCCAGTCAGCAGTGCTCGCCACCTTCAAGTCTACTCTTAAACAAACAGCGGAATTATAGATATGGCTTTGTTTGTCTGTTTGTTTTGAATTTCGTGCAAAGCTACACGAGGGATATCTGCGCTAGCCGTCCCTAATTTAGCAGTGAAAGCCTAGAGGGAAGGCAGCTAGTCATCATCACCCACCGCGAATTCTTGGGCTACTATTTTACCAACGAATAGTGGGATTGACCGTTACATTATAATGCCCCTACGACTGAGAGAGCGAGCATGTTTGATGGGACAGGGATTGGAACTCGCAACCATATGAGTGAGAGTCAGGCGTCCAAACCACCTGGCCATGCCGGGCCACATATAGTTAGTGTCTCATTTTAGCTGAAAGTGCAGATCATGTTCATCAATATTTCATAGCTCGAATCTTGGACCTTCCAATTTGATGCCAGGCACGATAGCCAATAGATCTCGTTATTGATTTCGAGGAATGTGTGTGGGAGGGGGGGGATGTTATGGAAGCTTTTAACGTTTGGCTTACGAGCTTTCGCCAATTTCTAATGTTGTTTATTATCTCGCTAACGGCTCCGCCTTCGTCGCAATAGCTTTTTGATTCCCAAGATTTTCTTTCGTAGCTATTGCCCTCACTTTAAGAATAACAGCGCTGGCCCTAATTATATGGTGGTGTGGTTTTGGAGCTTGCTGCCATCTTAAGTACTCTTCGTTGCAAGTTTCAATTACCATGGGGAGTACTGGAGACTCTCTTCTTCGTATTCTGAGGGTCGCGGGTTCGAATCCCCATCCCACCAAACATGCTCGCCCTTTCCGCCAGTGGGTCGTTATTATATGACGGTCAATCCCACTATTCGTTAGTAAAAGAGTAGCCCTAGAGTCGGCGATGGGTAGTGATGACTAGCTACCTTCCCTCTAGTCTTTCACTACTAAATTAGGGACGGCTAACGCAGATAGTCCTCGTGTAGCTTTGCGCGAAATTCGATACAAACAAACAAATCTTCTTCGAAATATCGTGTTATTTGGCTCTATGTGGTATAAGATTTAGTTGTATGAATAATTCCCTTCGTGAAGAGAAGCTAAAAACCTTTGCATCCGTCGGTGAAGTTTTGGAGAACTATTTTACATGTTTGGTTAGAACAAATATATATATATATATACATACATGCATAAATAAATAGATGCTAGTCTGTATTAAAGGATCATTATAACAGTTGCAGAGAAACAATGCTAAAAAGTTTAATTCTATTACTTAAAACAAGTTCGAATATTATAGCTAGAATTTTTAGTAAAAATTACATTAAAATATTTAAAAAACATGAGATCGTGATTGCCTCGTACTAATTTTATTTATGTGACTCACAATATTGTGTTGGATATCATTATTTTATATTTAGTTTTTCTCCAGCAGGTAAACTTTACGACATTTCTTTTTATCCTTCTATAGAAACTTAAGTGCGTGTTCCAGCAATTTTTGTTTGTAGTTTTGTGGAAGACGGGTATTCCTGTGTGCAACAACATTCTACCGCCTTTTAAAGTCAACAAAGTCTATATACGTTAACACCCTTTTCTGATTCAGAAGTTTTATTTATTTTAGAGTGTGTGACTAGCAAGACAGTCACGATCTTATTAAAGGTATCCAACAGGGTTGACAGAGCAAAAATCAATCAAACTATTCCATTTGTATTCACAGGGCCACTAGGAGTAAAAACAAGACCAACACAAGAATGAAATTGAGTCGATCTCTACTCTTTCAATTTACACTAGTGGCTTCGCCACGGGGTTCGAAGTAAAATGGCACTAGATTTTATTTCATATTACTTTGTAAAGTGGCACATCCATCTCGACATACTATCGATGTCAAGAGTCTTTAAGAATAGTTAAATTAAGCTCCAAAATGATCAATTTTAGAAAGGACAGTGATGGATGGTGAACACATAAACTCGGTTTTCTTGGAATGAAGTATATAGTTGTTACAGACTGTCAGAAGGGAAATAAAAGAATGAGTGAAACAAAAGGCGGGGAAATAGATTTGATCATTAGCCCATAATATCGGATTTTTCTGTTTTTTATTAGCAAAATACAACAAATAACAATTTTCAAACATATTAAACCCTTGATCGTTATGGGGGAACTTTAGCTACCACGTGGTATGTTTTAGAAAAACAAAAGTACGCCTGAAGAGAAGTGTATGAACTTTGTACTGCGGAACTTCTACATTCAGCTATGTTTTAAAACGAGATGAGAGGATGATGCATTCGATTTTTTTTCCTTCATCTAGTATCGTATTTTGATTTTGTATTTTAAGTGATATTATACTGTTAATACAGATGTCGACTATTTTGGGCTGGATTTAGGAGGTACGTTTTACTGATTATGCCATTTTCCGCTTTTTGTGTGATTCTCTAGTTTTATTCGAGGTAACCATTTTCCAACAGCTAAATATGTGGAGTAAGATGTGGGACTTTTGTGAGCAAGAATGTGACTGTGATGTAGCTAAGATATTCCCTTTAGAATATAGGTATAGTTATTATATGCGTTATAAACTGAACACTGATAAAGAAAAATAGAATTATTTATCATTAGTGCAATTAAACAGTTTTCATGATGACAAGTTTTAAAATTTGTACAATACACTGTTTAAATTACTATAGTAACAAATGGTATAAGTATATGTACATAGTTAAAGCAACGAAAAACATTATGGCATCATCTTCAAGTAGACAAAACGACTGCACCACAAAAAGAAATGAATGTGTATATATATATATTACTTGTTATTCTGTATATAACATTACTTCATATGAACTTACATCTGCATTCTTTTTGAATACGTCCACCCCACGCCAAGATGCCATGCATGTTATGGAGTATATTTTGTTTTATAATAGTATGCGTATTTACAGTCAAATATTAGCTTAGCATTAGTGTGAGCAAGGAGGTCGATGTATTTTGGGAATTTAACCTCTTGAACCACTATAGGGTAATGTGTTGTCTGTCTGTCAGTCAGTAGACACTAAAATGACGTCTTGTACTGTCGTGACGTCAGTAAAACGTGCGCATGGCATGAAACACGAGAATAATTATGCATTCTGTAGACAACAACACAGCATGACATATGAACTTCCAAAGCAAGAAACAAAAGTATTTGTTGCTCTTAATTTTGGTTTTATTTACTTTTCAAATAGAATATTTTTCGTTGATCCTGCGGAAGTACAGCTAGTTTAGTAGTGTATATTTACCCCGTTATCAAATGCTTTAGTGTTCTTCTAACACACGGTTTTGACAATTAGAGTAGCTAGAGTGGCACTTTAATGGTTCAGTTTGGCCTTTTATTCAAGTGGCCTGGCCTTAAAATCCCATTCCATTATTTCTTAATTAGACTCTCAGTGGCACAGCGGTAGTCTGCAGACTTATGATGCCAAAAACCTGGTTTCGATACCAGTGGTGGGCAGAATACAGACAATCAATTGAGTAGCTTCGTGCTTAAGAACAACAATCAACCAACCAGCATTTTAATTAATTTTCTTTTCCTGATTTAAGGAATAATTAAAAATGGCCATAGAGAACAATTATGGGATGGAGCATGCATATCTTTTCTAATTTTAATTTTTACCTGACAAGTTGGAACGTTAAAACACAGCTTAGTACAAAGTGGTTTTCCAGGAATATTCCAATAGTTCAAATTAATATAGGGCCCAGCATGGCCAGGTGGCTAGGGCGCTCAACTCGCAATCTCCTGGTCGCTAGTTCGAATCCCCGTCCCACCAAACATGTTCGTCCTTTCAGCCGAGGTGGCGTTATAATGTGACGGTCAATTCCACTATTCGTTGGTAAAAGAGTAGCCCTAGAGTTGGCGGTGGGTGGTGATGACTAGTTACCTTCCCTCTAATCTTTCACTACTAAATTAAGGATGGCTAGCGCAGATAGCCCTCGTGTAGCTTTGCAGGAATTTCCAAACAAATCAAACTAAATTAATATAGAGTGCAAAATATGAGAGGAATGATGGTAATCACTTTAAATTTTGTTTGTTTGTTTTTAAGCTCAAAGCTGAACAATGGGCTATTTTTGCTGTGCTCACCACGGGCATCGAAATCTATTTTTTAACGTTATAAGCCTTCAGACTTACCGCTGTGCCACTGGGGTGTCCATTCTAAACATTTTGTGAAGTTTACTGTTAGAAGGTTTGTGTAGTTACGATTAGGTTACAATTTTATGTAATTAGTGTACTATTTTTATTAAACACAATTGAGTGCTAACACAAACGTTTTTCAGTTGGTGAAAGAATATATGAAGGTTTTCTAGTAAAACGTGGGCTTCTGATATTATTTTTTCGAAGAAGAAATAGTTTGAGATTTGTCGGTTATAGTTTATCAATATTTTTTCAGCGTAATGACACGGATATTTGAACGTTATTTTTTCATTTATTGTTTCTTTGAAGTGACGAAATGTATCCATTCGCTAAACAGATTTAGCTAAACTGCTCTGATTTCAACTAATGCTGCACACCTGTTACGTTAACGCCTCATTCAAACGATTTTGTTAAGTGTAACAACTTACTTAATTTTCTTCGCGCCAAAAGACGCATCAAGTGTAGCAACAGAGAACATAAAATAGTTCTTTACTGACAGTTATATGCCAGTAACATTATAAATGAAACTGGCCCGGCGTGGCAGGTGGTTAAGGCGCCCGACTCTGAGGGTCGCGGGTTCGAATCCCCATCCCATTAAACACGATCGCCCTCACAGCTGTGGGGGCGTCATAATGTGACGGTCAATCCCTCTATTCGTTGGTAAAAGAGTAGCCCAAGAGTTGGCGGTGGGTGGTGATGACTAGTTACCTTCCCCCTAGTCTTACACTGCTAAATTAGGGACGGCTAGCGCAGATATCCCTCGTGTAGCTTTGCGCGAAATTCAAAACAAACAATAAATGAAACTTCTAATGTAGTTCTGTTTTTCTTGAATATATATATATTACCAGTTTTCTTAAATACATTTACGACATGATGTGATTCACATGAGAGAGTGCCTGTCATGGCCTGGAGGTTAGGACTATCGACTCGCAACCTGGGGGTCGTGGGTTCGAATCATCACCACCGAAAATTCTCGTCCTTTCAGACGAGGGGCGTTATAATGTGACGGTTAATCCCACTATTCGTTGGTAAAAGAGTAGCCCAAGAGCTGGCGGTGGGTGGTGATGACTAGCTGCCTTCCATCTAGTCTTTTACTGCTAAATTATGGTAGTTTAGCGCAGATAGCCCTCGTCTAGCTTTGCGCGAAATTCAAAACAAACTTAACCATACGAGTGATCCTACAGTTCGTAGCGCATGAACTGGCTATTTTCGCATTTTTTTCTTTTCTTTCTTTCTTATGGTATTTGTTAAATGTCCAAGTTAAGCTACGCACATAATGTATAATAAATTATATTAGGTTTTAAAATACATAAGCTTATGATGCTTCTTCTGGAAATATTTCTGAATGGATGTGCAATGAAATTATATCATATTCTTGATGCATAGGTGCTTATGTCAAAGCTACTAAGGATATATATCTCTGTGCCTAATTTTGAAATACCGACCAGAGGGAGAGCAGCCAGATCAGCAGCATCCTACCAATGGATTGACTGCAACTCTTATAACGTACCCACTGAGGCTCGTCATTAGACACGCTCACTCCACATAAAGCCTTGCCTGTTAATGCTCCCCACCCCAGTGGCACAGCGGTATGTCTGCGGACTTACAAAGCTAGAAACCGGGTTTCGATAGCCGTGGTGGGCAGAGCACAGATAGCCCTTGTGTAGCTTTGTGCATAATAAAAAACAAACAAACTGTTAATGCTCTCCCCCGCCCAGTGGCACAGCGGAATGTCTGCGGACTCACAACGCTAGAAACCGGGTTTTGATACCCGTGGTGAGTAGAACACAGATAGCCCATTGTGTAGCTTTGTGCTTAATAACAAACAAACAAACAAAAACCGAAAAAAGAAAATAACTATAACATAAAACAAAAATTACTGAATAATATTGTGGTTACTGTAAAATCACAATGATATTTGGAAAAACAAACTATATTGTGGTTACCAAATTATGATATGACTATTACATATATTTGGTTATCATAGAACAACAATGCAGTTTGCACAGATCAAAAACAATAATGAAATTGCAGGTTACTTTACCGTTTACTTTCAACACAGAACTGTAACTGGCGGTACCACCTTCATTAGTGACTTGACAAGTGTAGTTGCCGCTATGCTTCAGCTGCATATTATCCGTAGATAACATGCTATAGTCCTTAAATATTTGAATACTTAGGCCTAACGACATGGGTAGTTGATCCCCGTCCTTAAACCAGGCGAAGTGAAAGGGGGGATCTCCAAGGATAGCCGCACAAATCACTTTCATTCTCATCCCAACTTCCGAACTGGTAGAAAACTGAAATTCTGAAATCACAGGGGATTCTGGAAAGAAAAAAAAACAACAACAGAGCATGGTTTAAAAAAAGTTATTGTTCAATTTCATCTACAAGAATATGCGAGTAAAAAAGTGACGTCTTCCTCCACGTGCTATCTAAGAAACTGCGTGAGCTTGTTATTTCTGCTTAGCTAGAAAAACCTGTAAGAAGCTCACAGATGATTAAAAAAACAAGTCTATAAGGATTTAAAAAGCATATCAGATTTATAAAGTCACATATGTTTCATACAAAGATTGAGCTAACTAAGACATTAAAAACGCACGCGTTTAATAGTACAAAACGACTGCCTTAACAAGAGCACCGTGATACTTAGTTATTAAATGAAATATATTGGATTCATTAGCACAAAGCGACAACAAAGGTGATATAAATGCAATATTTAGAATGGGTAGATTATTAAGTCAGAAGTGACACCATATAAATAGGAGTTTAAAAGGGTCGATATTTAGCAGAGGTGAACACAATCAACTAAGAAGTGAATAGCTTAAGTTTAAGAAGTTATAGGTATTTTATAAATTAAGACCATATCAAACGAAGATACGAAGGGTGTGTTATGTGAAACATATCATATGTTTCTTTCCCTTTACATTAGCAAAATGAACGCTTTATTTTTCGTGACATTTTCAAATATTTCACATTGACCTGTAATGGTGCTCATGTTCAAGGTATAGCGAACAAATGTTATTGAATTAGTAGCGAACAAGTGTTATTGAATTAGTAGCGAACAAGTGTTATTGAATCAGTAGTACGTCATTCCCCTTTGTACTTTCTAGATCTTCTGGCTGGTGTTCGTATATAATTCATTTTGACTTGTACTAATAGATATAAGTTTGGAGTAGTCTGTCCTCCCTATTGGATTAAAGGAAGTGACCAGATGATGTGGACGATAAATACATTGGCCCTATTCAAACAAGAAATATATATTTAACAGCATAGGCGACAAAGGTATCGCAATTAAAAAATAGGTTAAACCATTGCTAAGGTTTTTTTTAAGGAAATCGTCAGATCGTACAGTTTAGAAGTATTTAGGAAATGTGAATGACTGATGGTCATTACTGTGACTTATGAAACAGATTAAACTTAACCCAAGGCTAGCCTGCTGTAAGTATCTCCCAGTGCCTTGGCACAGCTGCGGTAGATAACAGTGAATATACACGATTGTCCAAAGCCTTCATGATAATTGGGCCACAGCAACAGTAGGTATTTCCTTCAGATGGCGAGCGAGGAAGGATGGAGTGCATTTTTCATTAAATTAAAGTTACCTCTATCGTACCTCAGTGTAGAATGGAATATTGAATTAGAAGTGTAGTAGTTAGATAGCTTTCCAAGGTATGATGGTTAGTAAAGTTTATATAGTGAGGATTTTTTTTAAATGCCAATAAAAGTGACGGTGAAGTTCATGGTTCATACACGTACTACTTGAACTTCATCTTGATATTGTTCATTTACAGAAGTTGTCTCTGATCTTGGTTCAGACATTGGTATTTTAGAGATGGACTTAGTGCAGAAACCATCAGCCTGTTTTTTCTCTTAAAATTTCGTGAATAAACTATCCAGTGTCAACTAGATTGGTCCAAAAACAGTGGGTTTCGTGAGTATATGTTAAGTCTCAGTTCTTCTAAATGTACAAGTGACGTTTCTATAAATATGGTTTAGTGTCTTCTTGTCATCTACTGTGATTATAAAACCAAGATATAAAATACATTGTTTTCTGCCAAGAAATAAGAGTGCCTGACCAGTTATCTGTATAAGTGCTAGTGTTGTTCTGGTGCTGATCTGTAATTATATGCACTTGGCCACCGAGTGTTTCAATGGAATGGTTATTGACATGGTGAATAAAGTAAAAATGACTAAAACTAACAAATGGAGAGATACTTCACATATGATGATAATATCTCGGTATTTGACAACACATTACAGGCTGCTGCTGAATATTTGGGAATGCGTTTTCAGTGGACAAAGAAAGCAGGCTTGAAAATATATCTAAGAAATTGTATGCTGGATGTATTACTCTGTCACACTGTTGGTATTGGTAGTGTCTACAGACACTGAGAAGATCTCTGGCTTCAATCCACAAAGAAATTAAATGTCCATAGCTTTTTTGGCTTCACTACATACTATTAGTGTTTTGTGACCAACTTCTTATAAATAGTGATACTGTTGTCTGCACTGACTAAAGCTGAAATGTATTTTAGATGAATTGAAGATTGCTACCGGGAAATCCAACCACTAAAGTGTGCTTTAATTCAGACTTTATTAGTGTTAGTTTATCCAACACAAGTCTGTCCATTTAACGTAGAAACTGGTGATAGTAATAATTTAGTCACAGTGATATTGTCACAAGTGCAAAACAGAGTAGAAAATGTAACTGTTTATGTTAATAATAAACTAATGGCTCCTGAATGTAAGTACTGCACACACCAAAAGACACTACTCACAGATTTAGTATTTTTCAGTAATTGAGTGCACTATGTTAAAATGATTAATATACAAGTCAACAATAAATATGACAACTGCAGCCTATATAAAGTTGCGGCAGAACAGATTGTATCATAACTATATTTTTAAATGATTTGGTATTTTATAGATTGTGTGATGATACCGGAAACTGATAACTTTAGGAAAGATATGTAACAGCCCTTTCCGGTGCAAAATATTCATACACTCAGCTCAAAAAGATGTGTTCAAATTGAGATTTAGAATTTCCGAGATGACATTGGAAAAACAAATTAATATTGATAAACCTGGTAGAAAATGGACCATTCAGAAAGGTATCTGCAAGAAGTCATACCCAAACTGTAATAATAAAGGTGTGGCATCTCTGTAACAGTGGAGAATCCATGAGCACAGAAGTCAGTGGCAAAAGCCGACCACGTATCTCAGGCTACGGTATACAAGATAATCAACATGGATCTCCATGTGGAAAAGCAACACAAGTCATGTGTACACAAGTTGCTTTCACCCACATATCTGCTCAACCATCAAATACTTCAAGCAACTGGAGAATGTAATGGATATTCGTGCTATTCCTTACAAAGGTATACTGATATAGTCACCAAATGTGGTGACTATGAATTTGTTCAATCAGACTGTTGAAACAGGAACTGGGAAACTATCGTCCTTGTACATTAGTTGTATTATGGAAGGCGTGAGAGAGGAGGAGCTGACATAGCCTGTTGTTGGCCTTTTTGTTACTGCTCCCAGTCATTCAAATATTAGGCAATATACTGATGCTCCTTTATTAGCACAGGGTACGGCCTCCTCTCTAACAATGGGTGCAATTAAAACAGTCTTCTATTTCATCTATTTCTGCACGAGTCCAGATAGCATTTGGATGCAGCATCAGTCCAGTTGGAGCGATAGGCTTAGGGTATCTCTGTCTGTCAGATGGGAAACATTTAAGCTATGTTAATACACTTTTTTCTGTTCTTTATCATTTGAAGTACAAATGCTTCAGAAAGGTGTGTTGTTGGTGAAGTACTTCAGGCTTCCACGAATTTAATAATTTGTATAAGATAACCAAAATCAAATGCCAGTTGACAAGGATTCTGTCAAGGTCATAATTTCTTTGACACCCCTATTTTTCCTCGTGAGCCCACATTGGAGGCCCTTGGTGATCTTGTCAACTAAGTAATTCATGTTGTCAAATGCCAAAATGCTGGGACAGCCTTTCTCTTCACCGCATTGTCGTTTATCTGTATACGTGGCTACAATCTCATAAATTCCTTGATTTTAAGCCTATAAATCAGTCCAATTGATGGATAGGTTCTTACTGATTCAAATTAGAGCAGAGCTGGTCTTCATCAAAGTGTTCATCAGTTTCCAGTGCTGTACCATTTGTGGTAAGCAGCAAATGTCGTATTTCCTATTCTTGAATCTAAGAATGAATTGTTGGAATCTTTCAGGATGCAGCTCAAATTTTTTTAGCCATGCCTTAAAAAGATAGCAGATTGTTTTTTATATTTCAACACTGTCTTTGTAGTGTAGTGAGGGTAAATGTCCAGTACTGACTACCATTAGAAGCAATGGTTGTTGAGCCAGTATAAGCAAAGCCATTAAATTCGTATTTCTATTAGTTGTGATCCTAACATTCTGTTGAACATTGGACTCATTCTTCAATTTGTAGAGTAATGTATTACTGTAGAAAATACATTATCATCTGCTTCTGATCTAAGATGGATTTTTGGTTGACTCCTAACATCACTGACTTGCCTAAAATATTTATTAAACTTACAATGTGTTATTCCTGGATGGATAGAAATCACATAGGCATTTTGATACTCAAAACATTGAACTTACAAGTTTGTTGGGCAAAATATGTTGGATAACTAACATAAGCACAAGAGAAAGATTGAAATGGATGTTCCATACACAATAAACACTTTATTATCCTGTCACAATAACAATACGATAAATAAAATCATAGGTAACTAGATGACAGAACTGAATGCAATGATAAAATTGAATACATATATAAAACATAAAGAAACAAAGACAATATAGGGAGGTGTTCTGAGATCATTTACCTTCTTTAAGAGCTACCATCCAAATTTACTAACAGCTACAAATAATTCTAAAATTATTTGGTCTGTATTTGGTCTGGACCAATCCAAATCATGGGGACGTGGATACAGATAACACCCCCACTTCACATTAGCGTTGGCCAAGTGATCTTAAACAATCAAACATGGGTCATTAATGTCCAAACAAGCAATGATATGCCAGAGTCAGTCTAGTTGGCACTCATTATAGAAGCCTGATGTTTAGGACCAGATTCGTCACCTGATCAATAATGGATGTTCAGGTTCTCAGCTAAACCATAGAAAATTCAATATTTTCAATACTTCTCAATCTAAACTTTATCTTATCCAGAAAAGAGCAAAGTTTATGGTATATAAATACCACGTATACGCTGATATGTGGTCTTTAACTCGTGTAAACGTTCTGAGTAATGTGACAAATGTGCAATTTCATTTCTCAATTGTAGTTCACATGCATTGAAGAATGAATAATTTGGTATGATCAAGCCAATATCCTACAAAACATGTTTAGTGGGCTTAATTTTATCAGCATGCTATCCACAGAAAATTCGGATACCAATAGATTATTTGATGTTTCTTGGACATTGATAACACTAATGCTGAATCTGATAGTCACTGAATGCCGTTAGGTCCTTTCTTTGTGTCATCTTGACTTTAACAAGCTGTGTATGGCAGCTGTTGACATTTATAAACTCTCCGTAGCAGTGAACCATAATACTATCATGAAAACTGGGTCGAGATGACACAACACTAGAGGATGTACTGTACTTCCCACTGCTTTTGGTAATACAGTGTATAGGTGAACACATACAATCGTTTCATTGTTTGTTAAACTGACATTTTGAAAACCAAACAAGAAAATAGCATACACGCTCTCCATGAAGTTAGAAAATGTTATGATAAAATGGTATACGTAAACAGCCTTGATTAAAAGTTTGATGCAAATCAGCGCTCACCCGGGAATCTTTGATAATAGTTTTGTTCTTTTTGTGGGTATTCTAAATTCATGTGAGTACATACGTAAACTTGTTTAAAATGTGACTTTTGTGCAGGTTAAAAGATATAGTCTGTTTCCTAGGTCTCGAGTCTAGTCGTTTACGCATTTGAATTAATTTCGTAGACTGTAGGCGGACTTCAATATTTAATCATTGTTGTCGTTTTCGTTTCTCTTCCCTCGTAGTATTAATCCACACATACAAAGGCTTAGCTGCTATTAACATACAATTGTGAGATGAGAACTTATTGTATTCCTTATATTTCGCCAGTTAACGAAACCGCAATGTCACTTATTTTCAATTAATTTCTGAGTGCCAACAGTAAATTACATATTATAGTTTGGAAAATAAAGACAGGTGTTCCGTAAAGTCCTGTGTTTCTTCATCTTCACTGTACTATCTACTAGGCTATTATTAAGACACTTAACCTTTATGAGTTTTATTTTATATATTCTTTGAACCTCTACACGTCATTAACTAAGTTATGACAATTAACTTTGAATACAACGTTTTTTTAGATTTTGTGTTACCTTAGCTATGCTTTCAGGTGCTACGATAAGAAGTTGATATAATATTGAGTTTTATTCGGTGTTACACATTAAATTGTTTGCGATTCTTAACTTACGGCCCGGCATGGCCAGGTGGTTAGGGCGCTCGACTCGCAATCTGCGGGTCGCGGGTTCGAATCCCCGTACCACCAAACACGCTTGCCCTTTCAGCCGTGGGGGCGTTATAACGTGACGGTCAATCCCACTATTCGTTGGTAAAAGAGTAGCCCAAGAATTAGCGGTGGGTGGTGATGGCCTTCCCTCTAGTTTTACACTGCTAACTTAGGGACGGCTAGCGCAGATAGTCCTCGTGCAGCTTTGCCCGAAATTAATAACAAACAAACAATCATATCGAGATTAGAATGTTAACATCACTGAGCTTTAAATTAAAAAGTAAACTTCTCTGTTTATAATATATTTTTCTTCTAAAGAATAGAATTTCTATTCCTGTCACATTGAAGCTGCCAGCTGGTATGTTATTTTCATATATGATACGTGTGTTGTTGTTGTTTCTTTACTGATTATAGCACCTGACATGCTCACTCACCTCCATCTTTGTTTGTTGTTGTTGTTTCTGTAATCAGGATATATGGTCAGCAATTTTAACCTTAATATTTTCTCGCTGATATGGTTTTTTAACAATTGCAGATTGCTAAGATATTTTTTTTCATTGCTTTAAGGGCTTATCTCTTAAACTTACCTATAATCTTTAGCTCTATTAAATAGCTGATTTCTCGGCCTTTGTCCACCTGGTATTGACATCTATACGTGCCTTCATCAGGGTTTTCATTTACACCCTGCACAATCAAGCTCCCGTCGTGATCAATTACCTGCCTGTGGCTGTCTGGTAGCACGGATCCATCTGAAATCATGAAACAGGCTCCAATACGCAAATGTTGGTTAAACCTGGATGTGTGCGCTAACTTTTGTTTTAAAAGTAACTCGAAATTACTTTTCTAAACACAATACAACCAATATGATTAGTCGTCACAGAAATTAGTGGTCGTGAACATGTTTGAAATAAGTATTTTCAATTCATAATTCCCGAACATTGGGTTTGATTAAGTTGATACATGCAAAATTCTGTCATGAACATGATTCCTAGTTGGTAACTCTGCTAAAACACAACTTATTAAAATACTACATTTTTCGCAGTAACCCTTATACGGTAGTTTGTTTTTAAAACACAAAATTTTAACCTATAATTTCTATAGGCGGCTACAATGTCAGCAAATAATTTTTCCTTATAGTCTGTATAGATAATAACTAATAAAACATATATGTTCTAAGTATCCATCACAAACAATTACTTTGTAAAAAAAAGGAAAAGTATTCCAAGTAACACTTTCAAACAGTAACTTTCTCAAAAAAAAAGTGCTCCCAGTAACCATTTTAAATGGCAAGAATGTTATAAAACATGTCTTCTCTTTATTTCAATACAAAGTAACTATAAAAATACAACAGTCCTTACTATAACCTGTATAGCACCTTCCTTAACCACTGTACATAATAACTCTGTTAAAATAACTCTTATAGATGATACATTTGTTGAAACATAAAAGTTCTCCTGTGATCCATGAGGATCAAGGATATAACTCTGTTGACACACGGAACTTTCCTCCGTGACTCCAATAACTTAGATATTTTCTAGTCCTCCGTGTAAAACCTCTGTCTTCCTAAAAAGACCTATAAGTGACATCTTTGTTAAACTATAGAAATTCTTCAATAATCCCCATAGGTCGTAAGTACCCAATAGTTTTCCCAATAGTCCACAAATACAATTAATCTGTCAAAACACAGAATTCCCCCTTCTCACCCTTGCTGATACTAACGCTATTAAAACACTAATTTCTTCTAGTGGCCCTGTAGGTGAAGGAAAACTTATCAAAAATGTCCATTTGCCAATATTATATTCATATCAAGTTTAGTACCTAAAACATAGAAACTAATAAGACTCGAGCTTGGAAATAAGAAATTGCAATCATATAAATACAACATTACACCTGTGAAGGAGTCACTGAAAAACAATTAGCTGATAGTTTTTTACAAACCTTACTTTGTTATATATATTTAAAAACTTAGTTTAGTTAATAAGTTTACATGAGCTTTCTTGATCATGTTTATGTAAGTACTTTATAATTATAACTGTTAGAAGCAAGACACTTTTTTCTTTTTCTATAATTTTTTTTTCCGTCTGCTTGACACAAATTAACCGGAAGTTTGTGAATTTTCAGACTGTTTAAAAAATATTTTGTTTTGCTCGGCCTACCTTTTAACCACGTGATTTTTCCTTTGGCTCTTTCGTAGTAGGGACATAGAAGCTTAGCAGTCTTTCCTTGGATCACTGTCATTGTGCGCACGTCTAGAGTGTGACGTCGAAATCTCGAAACCACATGACGCATGCGTGTTTCTTCTGGCAGGGTAGTGTTGTAATTTAACTCGAAGTGGTCATTGTTGTTGTACAGATGGAGAGTTCCATTAATAAATAAGTAAAATACACATCGATTTCTGTTCTTTTCTGTTCTCGGGAGGTGGCTAGAAAAACGATTTATTTTCTCATTCGTTGTTTTAACCAGTCGAAATTGTTTTAGTATGCAAAAATGACCTAAAAATGATCGATATGGTTGGTCGTCTGTCGTCACGTGCCCAAATTCATCAAGGTAAAGAGCATCTCGAGCTACAGAAATATATATCAAAAATTAGGATACAAATACTTTAATTAAGAATGAGTAATACTACTTTTTAATTGAGTAGGAGAAGGTGGGGTAACACGGCCACCATAAATGTTTAATGCTGTTTCTACCAATTAAGACGAATGTCAAAAAAAGTAAAAGCCTTCAACCTGAACCCGCTGTTACTATAAATATAATTTCTAATTAAAACAAAGATTGGGCATAAATCTCTTTTAGATATTGAAAACATTGATTTCTTGTGCTTGGGAGCCATTTTACCTATGAGGTTGAATAAAACGGACCCCCGAGATTGGTAAAATGGCCTCCACGTAACTCATAATGAATACAATTTAAAATAAATGCTTCATTTAACATGTAAACTTAAATCACTATTTAAGTGCTCTTGACAGGGATTGGGTAAACCGTCAATATGCATATTATCTAGGACTGTTGCTAAAAAGAACGATAATAGTAAACATGAATAAAAATATTTATATTGGTACTAGTGTGGAATATGACGCTCCCCCCTGTAGTAAAACACCTCGCACGCTACCAAAATCGGTGAACTTTAATTCTATTTAGTTTACGGCATATTTGGCTGCCTATAATTCATTATTGTTTGAAATCAATAAGGGACATTTCCTGAAATATCTACTTTGTAACCATAAAAAATTTAAAGTGGCTACCTTCGATCAAAGTGATCCAGAAAAAGCCGTTCTTTGATACTTCCTATTAGCATCCTTTCACTATTGTGTTTATGCATGGGATCACGTGAACAATGGTTACATATAATTCACTTAGATGGTGAAATACAAGGGTGGCCGTTTTACCGAAGGGGCCTTCTTTCCTCACCTTTTCCTATGAGTTTTAGACGATTGTTAAGTACAATTACACGTATACTACTGAGACATCCAATACACATATTAAATCAAACTTTTGTGTAACGAAGATAATTGTAAGATACAACAAATATGTACCCTAAATAAAATACATATCAAAATTCAATTATCATTGTAGTTTTTAAAATTGTATCAGATCCTGCAATAGGGTTTATACCACGAAGAAATACTAAGTTATAACAGCTCTTAATTATTCACTGTATATGGGAAAAATTAGCGAACATAATATTCAGTGTTTGTATCTTATACTCCATTTGTTTTTAAATAGAAAAAGGATCTGATGATCAGAAGTTTTTATTTTAATACAAAAACAGCATAAAATAAAATTTCAAATCATAAGCTTATTTTTATGATGCCTTAAAAGGAACATTATTGTCATTATCATAGCAAGGAACCATAACGTTACAAAGAAAAAATTTTAAACTAAGCAGTTATACCGACGTTTGCTATGAGCTTTAAATTACTATTAAAGGTGTTTAATATGTGCATATCAGTAAAGTTTCACATAAAACGAAAACTGGGGCTTGGCACAGGCTGATGATTAAGGTGTTAGAGTCAAAATGTGTGGGTCACGGGATCTGAACCCGTCACTGAATATGATCACATTTTCAGCTGTATATTATAATGCGTCGGTCAATTCTATGTTTCGTTGGCAAAAGGTAGCCCAAGTTGGTGCTGAGTGGTTTTGATTAGCTACCTTCTCTTATCGTCTTATATCTTCAAAATTAGGGATGGCTAGTGCAGATGGACTTAGATTAAATAATTAAACAAAATAAAAATGTTAAGCAATGAACTCAAAATGTTGGTTCAGCAGCCTGGCTTTGGAGTTTCTGTTTAAGAACAAATTTAAATAGCTCATTGTTTTTTATTCTTCGAATACGTGGTAGATTTTGGGGAAAATATTGTTTGTTTCCAGCAACTTTCACAGCAGTTGTTACATTCATACATTATGAATGACTTTATAAACATAATGTAATGATCAAATATTTTTCCCTTAATAAATGTTCAATCATACAGGAGCGGTAGTCAATGAGAGTGTATTTGCAATGTTATTCATAATTCTTTTCATGGGAACTCGTTTATAGCCCTTTTTTTTGGCAAGTTTTTCCCTTATTTAGCAAGATTTCTTTTAAAAATTTTCTATCTAATAATCTATTATGTACTCGTTAAGTTGTGGGTACATACATTTTGCTTACAATTTGTTTTTTCTCACACATGGTTATAACTTACGAAAATAAATTTTTTCTAGCATATTTCGTATGTTCCTTCCTATTTCTAACAATTTACGAACAAAAATAACAAAATTAATTCCAGTGTCTAGTATTATGCATTAAACAAAGCAATGAGTATCTTCAGTTCTATACTGAAAGTGAATATTAGTAAAGATAACTTATTTATTAGACTTCATTTTGACACGTAGCAGGCAGATTGAGAAAACGTTATTTACTTTTAAACTCAATAGAGCTGCTTTGCTTACAAGCTCGAGCAACACATTGACAAAGGTAAATAACCAAAGATTCGGGATAAGTGATTTTACTACATACGTGTAGTCACCAATAATGCTAACTGTAGATTCAAGAAGTTGAATTAGCTGTATCTGTGTAGTTCACACATCAACTAAAGTAAATAGCCACAAATTCAACAGAACTGACTTGGTTACGTGTGTGGTTATGGTATTATCAGGTTCACCAATAACCATCAAGATAAGGATAATAACCACAGGTAATTCAAAGAACAGCAGAAAATGTATTACAGAATTAAACAGAAATCTTGGCTTGACTGAGTTGAAGAGAAGAGATTGAATGTAATGTTGAACAAATATAATAAATATTCAAATCAAATCAAAAGGTTTAAACTGACGATGCATGAAACGTCATTCAATACTCCTAGATAACAGAAAGAACTGATCAGATTCTATTCCAAAGGGATTCTGTTGATATTATGTTCCAGCCTGAGAGACCTAAGTGTTATATATTTGAATGAACAGTATCAGCTCTGTCTGAGTGCATACATGCCTTATCCACTTCACTGGTCATCGCATGAATGAAAATAAAAAGAACGTTTCTAAACTTAATCATGGTGGTGTCATTGTAAATAGAAGAAACAATGTCGACGAAACAAGGTACCGTGTAAGGTAGGTTTCCTATATACGTGAAAGTTCACGCAAACTTTGAAAGTGAGTGCATCTTGAATATTTTGAAGTTTTAAAAGTAAACTAACATTTATCTTTGTAAATTTCTAAAGGAAGAAAACATGGCTCTTTCTCAAGTACCACACCCTCTTCTCCTTTGTCTTAGGCTTGTCCTTAAGCTGACATGAATTTTAAAGTTTAAAGCTAACGAAATGTATAGAAAAATGTATGACCATAAATCAGTCTTGTTCTTATAGTACATTAGTTCTTGTGCCAGTAAAAACATTAACATTCCACGATACAATAAAGTTAAGATAAGACAATAAAATGTAATGATACAATACCATAATGTCAAATGAAATCAGTAACAGAATCAAATAGAAATAATATAGAATAATGAACTCTTTAACAAGGATTCAAATGATATTAAGAGTGTACAAAAGTGATACTGGCAATAATATGAAGATAAAAAGTGGATGCACATAATAGAAATACCCACCATAAAGATAACCATGATTACAAAATACAAAAATACGAAATAATTACAGTATTTTATAATCTATAATCTATATCATATAACTGTTTATTGAATACAAATATGTAATAATAACTCTCTATTAGTGATAAAATTAAAGTTATGTAAATGATACCAAAGTAGTATAAAAATACCAAGACAAATGATTTAATATTAAACAATTACTTAATAGAATATCCTTTAATACTGAATACCTTTTCAAACTCAACTATTCAATTTACAAAAAGTACAGTATAACCCTTTAACACTAAAATTATACATTGCAGTACCAAAACATCCCTTTTATGCAGAACTATTAACATAAATAAATTTCTGTATCATATATAAAACATTTCACAAAATAAAACTTTTCAAAAGTGAATTCTATCACAAACAAAAATACACAATTAAATGCTCCAAGTTTTAAATTTTATTATCAGAAAACACTACTCTAACTCAGATACATATATGCTTAACCAGAGTAAGTAATGCTCATCTAATGTTAATACTTATGAAATACATTTGCATAACATAAGGACCCTTTTCATAAAAGCAATGTTTTAATAATTTGAAATACATTTTAACGCAGAAAGCTTTGTCTAAATAATGATTAAGTAATATATAATGCTTATTGTAAAAATAAGAATATCAGAGAATAGTCAAATATGCATATATAAAACAATTATCTTCACTAAAGTTCACACGAAATGTATCCCAGAAAATTTATTCACAAAAAAAAATATTGCAGTTTAAACGTACAAAATAAAAAAAAAGAAAATAAATATCTGTTCACCAAATACAAGTCGCGACACAATACTAGAAACTCATTAAACTATCAGTTTTGAATATTTACAAAGAAAAGAAAATACAAATATATTAAATCAAACATCTTTATGCAAAGTGCAATGGATATAACTTAGAGGTACCGTAATAACATTCTAGCCAAACCTCAGTTGATTAATCTGCATAATGATAGTTAAATATAAAGAAGCATCAATAAAAGTAAAATAAGAAAATAGTTAATAAAAATAGAGTATCCTTCAATATTTCAAACATGATCATTACCCTCCAAATAAAATATAGAGGGTCCAGTACGTTATATTGAAATCAATTTGGAGCCTCACTATATCATTACAGTCCACGCTGCCATGCTATATCTAATGATCATGCATCTTAACAATATATCTGCAGTGTAAATCCCATTGAAAAAACTTTCATTATAAGGCTGTCATGTCCAAAGCACACACACATCCTCCATCTAGTGCACGAGGACGACGGTTTCCCAGTGCTGTTTCAAAATTCCTATAGAAAAAAAAACAAAAAACAACTCCATAAGCGCTGCATATGTCACCTGTACTGCTAAGTCTTTGTATGGGATAACCTGAATATTCATTTCATTCTCTGACTGCTTCAGGTATGTAATGGTTAAATGGGAGGTATGACTGGAAAGTTTATCC